TGAAAGAAGAGGTGGTCTGATATTGGGACATCATCGACCATGACTTTCTAACTTCTTTGATCAGTAGTATGCCCCGCCGCATTGAAGCCTGCATTGCTGCCCATGGTGACTTGACAAAATACTAACTGTTCACCTGTCTTTGAATCTGGAGTTATGTTCTGCTAATATTCACATTTAATACGTGAGTAATGAGTGAATTTTTTAAACAAATTACAATCTTAAATTCTCAATAATTTCTGGTTGTACTGTATATATTCATAGACTACATGTTAGTCGATGGTATTCCCCTGTGCTGGACAATCTCACTGTCTTGTACTGACCTCTTCTGTGTGAGTTTGTAGTTAAGTAAACAGTCTATGAAGTTATTCATTTTGAAATTTTAATTTAAAAGATTTGACTTCAGTGTGTATTTGCATATGTGAATTTTTAGACCTTAAGACTGAAGATAAGTTTGGATATAAATATTAAAGTCAGTTCTTAGGGGAATTCGAATGCATACATCAATATACATAATCAGCTTTAGAAGTTGCTGCCTCTGGTGACTCTAGTCGGCTACATCAAAGGTTGAACGAGTCTCTCTAGTAATGTACTGTTAAACCAAATGTTTATAATGAAGGCAGGAAGGTCGAAAGCTTATCTGGAATTATCAGGTCTGAAAACTGGGAATCATCATGACTCATCAATGCTAACATTTCTGGGGCAGTCCGTAGGATGCGTGTTGGAACTGTGAGGGACTGATGAATGTATGCAGCACTAATTATAACTAGTCAGATTGTCAATAGGAGTTTTGAGGGGGAAATGTCATCGTGTGAAATATTGTAATTTGTGAAAGTGAAACCCTGTATTTTTTCACTGTAAAACCCTATATTGTTTAATATGCAATGCTGTGTTGTGTGAATGTAAACCTGTGTGTTGTGAATGTGAAACACTGTATTGTGTGTATATAAACCTGTGTGTTGTGAATGTAAACCCGTGTTGTGAATGTGGAACACTGTGTTGTGAATGTAAACCCGTGTTGTGAATGTGGAACACTGTGTTGTGAATGTAAACCCGTGTTGTGAATGTGGAACACTGTGTTGTGAATGTAAACCCCTGTGTTGTGAATGTAGAACACTGTTATGTGAATGTAAACTCCTGTGTGTTGTGAATGTGAAACACTGTTATGTGAATGTAAACCCCTGTATGTTGTGAAACACTGTGTTGTGTGAATGTAAACCCCTGTGTGTTATGAATGTGAAACCCCTTTGTTGTGTGAATGTAAACCGCTCTGTGTTATGAATGTAAAACCCTGTGTGAAAGTGAAACCCTGTGTGTTTTTCTTTTAAACTCCATGGTTAGTGAATGTGTTGTGTTTGTTTGTTGTGAAAGTGGAACCCTGTGTTTTGTAAATGTGAAACGCTGTGTTTTGTGATTTCAAACTCCATGTCTTGTGAATGTGAAACCCTTTATTTGATGAAACTTTATTGTCATGCTGAAAACCACGTGAAGATCCAGGTTAGAATGAACCTTCAGTAACCCATGCTTGTAAGAGGCGACTAACGGGATCAGGTGGTCAGTCTCGATGGCTTGATGGCTTGGTTGACACATGTCAACGGTTCCCAATTGCGCAGATCGATGGTCATGCTGTTGATCACTGGATTGTCTGATCCAGACTTGATTATTTAGAGATCGCTGCCATATAGCTGAAACATTGCTGAGTGCGGCGTAAAACTTACTCACTCACTCATGCTGAAGATAACAGAGGTGCACATTAGGTGCATATTTGCATACAATACACAAAAAAGAAGCAATGTATTTGAATTAGTTCTGAGTTACTCAAACAGTTATTTAACACCTCTGTTGATAAGTACCTTGTGTAGCTTTTACTGTACGTAGACTGTATGTTGTTCTTGGGGCGGCGGGGTAGCCTAGTGGTTCAAGCGTTGGCTCGTCATGCAGAAGACCCCGGGTTCGATTCCCCACATGGGCACAATGTGTGAAGCCCATTTCTGGTGTCCCCCGCCGTGATATTGCTGGAATATTGCTAAAAGCGGCATAAAGCTAAACTCAGTCAGTCAGTCAGTCAGTATGTTGTTCCTATTTTCGGATGATGAAACTATGCATGTGTATTGCTAGAATGAATCCCAAAAAATATGAAACACAAAACATATCCATCAAATTTCAACTTTCTTGGCCCCAATCATCTTGTTTCCTTTTAGACATTTTATTACTCATCCTTAACAAAAAACGTGTTAAAGCAGGATGTTCATAGCTATGGAATGAATTGTCTTCCTGTTTGGCCTACAGAAGAACACAAGTTGACATGAAGGAAGTAAGGCGTGTAATGTACAGCTTGCTTATGTTGTCAGTGTTGTAGAGTTGTGTGAACATGCCAGTAAAGAAGACCCATGATGCTCTGTACCATAGGAGGAAGGTAAGACCTTTTGACTGCCATACCCGATGCAAGCAGGGCAGGAGATGAAGTGGCTTTGGGGCTGTGATGGGGCCTCTCGCTTATCAGATTCTAGTTGAGATTTGGTACAGTGTTTAGTAAAGTTTACCAGATAACTTCTTTGAGTGGCAGTTTTAGAAGTTGGAGACACAGACAAGGACATTCTTTATGGATGAACAGCTTCTTTATTCAGACAATGCGATGTTTCAATACAGATTCTTCTATCGTTGTTAAGCAGGTATTATTTATACAAATGTACCAGATGTTCAGTGCATAGTTAGTTACATGTGGTTTCAGAACAAAGATTTGTAGAAATTTTCGTACAAATTGTAGTCACGATTCACTATATAGTTCTGTAGACATTCTTTACATTCTACGTACAACTTTTAGCAAGGATTGAGTCGAAGGTTTTAAAGAAATTCAGTGCACTGTTTCATATAGATTCAGCGTTGTTGTGAGAGGCACATTACACTGTGATGGATGTGAGGGGTACAGGTGGGGGCACTTTAAGCTTTGTGTCTTGTTGTGAATGAACACATTGTATTACATACATATACCTCTATGTGGCTGTTGCGAGAGATATTTATTTGAGAGAGACATGTATTACATGTATGCAGTGTTTTAAGCTTATGCTTCAGGAGCTTGTATGGATTTTGTTTGAGAACTATGATGAAACTGAGACGGAATATTATTGTATCAATGTGCAATTAGATCTTCCAAGGTCCTTGTATACTTTAAGATCCTGTTGGTGCGGACACAATATGTTATTATCAAGGAAACGTGACTGGCTAGTTGTTTTACTAATTGCCTGATCATATGACATTTGAGAGATTAGTGTCTAGTTTGTCTGAAGTATGGGCAGTGTTTTGTGGGGAGACACTATGTTTTAGTTGAAGAGAAAAAAAAAGTTTACAAGTAAAAACTCCAGCATTTACCTTTAGCTGATTTGACCAACGGGTAACTGACGCTGTTATGTGAGAGGCCACTCAAGAACTTTAACGTTTCGTTCAAGAGATAAGGGCTTTGTTGGTGATAATTCTTGTTTGGCTGAAGGTTGAGCAAAACAGATGTAATGTTGAACTTACATGGCTGAGGTTTGTTTGGACATACAGAAAATGTGTTTAGTGTTTGATAATAACTGAAATTCGTTTTTGCAGAAAACTGTTATTTTGGTGAATGTATATAACAGTTTTTTGGTAGGCTGGTGATCTTTTCTAAGGGAAGTAACTACTGTGGGGATATGTTGCTTGGAAATGTGGTTAGAAAGTTTAACAGGACTTTCGTTAAACCCATTTTTTAAGTTTATTGCAAATCCTCTTATGTTTAACATTCAGGAAGTGTTTTGAAGGCCACATGGTGAGCTGGGTGTTGATACATGATAGAATCTCTAGTGGCTGCATGTTGACAATATGTGCGTGTGTGCTTACATGTGTGTGTGTGCTTGCGTCAGTGTGGGCTGGCTGTATTAGCCAAATCCAGGGAATGTGGGTGAAAATATAGGTTATAATATAACATTACAGTAGGGGCTTGGTGGAAGGGAGAATAATATGGCCTTGGGACTGAACAGGGGTGATGTGTACAATATGGACTTAATTCTGGGCTTAGGCAATATAGTAAGGGCTGGGTCGTAGGTGGAACGTAAAATATTGTAGTTAGGGGACTGTGAGAAAGTACTTGAAGCAGGACATACATAATTGCAGGCAGGATGTATATCAATTGTAAGCAGGATATATATATATATATATATATATTGTAGGCAGGGTATATATCACATAATAATAATAGGCAGGATATACAGAGGTACAGATTAGCTGTGTATCTGCATAAATTACTCAAATATTTATGTGAAAACTCAATTCCTATTAAGTCTATTGCGTACAAGTACACTTGACCTTTTGTAAATACTCAATAAATGTGATCTTACATGCGTACACACAAAAATGTGTAGCTTGCGTACTGGTGGATAGATAAAATAACTGAGGTATATTGAGAGTTTCTATTTCAGGACATGAACTTGACAACTTGCAGTCTTTCTTATCGTTTCTCATATTACAGATCAAATATGAATAACAAACACTAACATTTAAGCTTTATTACATTTTTAAAATTAATGGAAAATGGCAAAATACCAAATTGAGTTTGAGTGAGGTGGGTACAATTTATTTGGTTACTCAAAGGAAAATTGGGATACCCAATTGAGATGAACACAAGCGAGTACATAACTCAATGACCCAAAAAGTTATCTGTAGCTCTGATATATATATATATAATAATTGTATTTACATCCCACATTTATGCTCTGATATTTCCCCCACAGTTTGCTGTATTTACACAACACAACTGGCAAACCAATAATAAGGTCATGTGAGCACAGTAATGCTTGTCATATTTTGAATAACCCTTTCCAAGTGGTAGAACTTTTTATCATGACTCTATCGCTCAAAAGCCCACAAAAACATATCACATTTTGTCACGAAATGTCTATTTTGTCATACATGTCTTTATCTTCCAGCCCCTCCCTGTTAAGTAATGACTGGTCCATTATGTCCAATTTCATGTCCAATTTCAGCCTCCTAAGGTGAAGAAGAGCTATGGGTCTGAGGAGGAAGTGGCGGAGTCAGTCAACACGACCCTACCGGTGCTGGAGAACCGTTGTGACTTCTGCCAGCTGACGGCCTCCACCAACCGGAAGGGCCGACCCGAGAAACTGCTCATATGCAAGGACTGTAATGCTAAAGGTGAGTGAGTGAGTGGGTTTAGTTTTACGCCAATTTTAGCAATATTCCATCAATAACATGGCGGGGGACGCCAGAAATGGGCTTCACATTGTACCAATGTGGGGAATCAAACCTGGGTCTTCGTTCGACGTGACAAACGCCATAAGGCTGCCCCACCTCCCCTTCTAAAGGTGAGGTAGTTGAGTTTGCTGAAACACTTGCAAAACACATTATCAACTTTTTGTAATATCTGGCAATATGAGCCTCAAAATTGAAAAAAAAACTGTTCTAGATATTTATCTCCAGGTTTGGGAAAAGGCTGGATTCCTAATGTTTAATTATGACCTAATTGCAACTGAGTTTTAAGTAGTTTGATGTCTTTGGATGAAGATCTTTATGTGGAATCATTTGCTTAAGGCCAGTGGTGAATGTCAGCAAAATGCTCGAGTTTGATTCCATCAGTCTTAACAGTTGGTGGAGCAGTCTTATAAATTCATGCTAGTTCTCAATCCAAAGATGACTTGGAAACCTCAATGATGGTAGTCCTAATAGCATTTGTGGACTGTTATTCCGAACCAGGGCCCCGTTTCACAAAGCTCTCGTAAGCCTGAGATCTCGTAACTTTTCTCGTAGCATTCGTACATCCTAAACTGTAACATAGAATGCAGATGCTACTGAAAAAAGATCTGACTATATTAGGCCTAGAGAGCTTTGTGAAACGGGGCCCAGTTCTCAATGCTTAAATTTACCACACATTAGAAAGGAATAATATTGATGGAAAACACAAATTGTAATTTTTTTTGTCTCCTTTAATCATGACGAGTTCAGAGGACCAAGGAAATAGTCCTGTGGACCAGTGTTAGTTCACTCTGACATCCTGTGATGGTTGTGTCTACTGTCTGTTGCAGCTCACCCATCATGCATGGACTACTCGGTGGCCCTGGCCCGGCGGGCTCGCAAGTTACTCTGGCAGTGCATTGACTGTAAAACCTGCTACATCTGTGATGACGCCGGGGATCCGGTAAGTCAGGATGTCTGTGGGGAGCCGGTAAGTGTGTGTGTCCGTAGGGATCTGTTAGGTCTTTGTGGATCCAGTATATGTCCATTAGGATCCGGTAAGTCAGGATGTCTGTGGGGAGCCAGTAAGTGTGTGTGTCCGTAGGGATCTGTTAGGTCTTTGTGGATCCAGTATATGTCCATTAGGATCCGGTAAGTCAGGATGTCTGTGGGGAGCCGGTAAGTGTGTGTGTCCGTAGGGATCTGTTAGGTCGGGGAGCCGGTATATGTCCATTAGGATCCGGTAAGTCAGGATGTCTGTGGGGAGCCGGTAAGTGTGTGTGTCCGTAGGGATCTGTTAGGTCGGGGAGCCGGTATATGTCCATTAGGATCCGGTAAGTCAGGATGTCTGTGGGGAGCCGGTAAGTGTGTGTGTCCGCAGGGATCTGTTAGGTCTTTGTGGATCCAGTATGTGTCCATTAGGATCCGGTAAGTCAGGATGTCTGTGGGGAGCCGGTAAGTGTGTGTCCGCAGGGATCTGTTAGGTCTTTGCGGATCCAGTATGTGTCCATTAGGATCTGGTAAGTCAGGATGTCTGTGGGGAGCCGGTTAGTGTGTGTGTCCGTAGGGATCTGTTAGGTCTTTGTGGATCCAGTATATGTCCATTAGGATCCGGTAAGTCAGGATGTCTGTGGGGAGCCAGTAAGTGTGTGTGTCCGTAGGGATCTGTTAGGTCTTTGTGGATCCAGTATATGTCCATTAGGATCCGGTAAGTCAGGATGTCTGTGGGGAGCCGGTAAGTGTGTGTGTCCGCAGGGATCTGTTAGGTCTTTGTGGATCCAGTATATCTCCATTAGGATCCGGTAAGTCAGGATGTCTGTGGGGAGCCAGTAAGTATGTGTGTCCGTAGGGATCTGTTAGGTCTTTGTGGATCCAGTATATGTCCATTAGGATCTGGTAAGTCAGGATGTCTGTGGGGAGCCGGTAAGTGTGTGTGTCCGCAGGGATCTGTTAGGTCTTTGTGGATCTAGTATATGTCCATTAGGATCCGGTAAGTCAGGATGTCTGTGGGGGGAGCCGGGTAAGTGTATGTGTGTGTCCATGAGGGATCTGTTAGGTCTTTGTGGATCCAGGATATGTCCATTAGGATCCGGTAAGTCAGGATGTCTGTGGGGAGCCGGTAAGTGTGTGTGTCGCAGGGATCTGTTAGGTCTTTGTGGATCCAGGATATGTCCATTAGGATCCGGTAAGTCAGGATGTCTGTGGGGAGCCGGTAAGTGTGTGTGTGTAGGGATCTGTTAGGTCTTTGCGGATCCAGTATATGTCCATTAGGATCCGGTAAGTCAGGATGTCTGTGGGGAGCCAGTAAGAGTGTGTGTCTGCAGGGATCTGTTAGGTCTTTATGGATCCAGTATATGTCCATTAGGATCGGTAAGTCAGGATGTCTGTGTTGGAATCAGGTTAGTCTGTGTGTCTGTTGGAATCAGGTTAGTCTGTGTGTCTGTGTGAATCAGGTTAGTCTTGTGTGTGATAAAATCAGGTTAGTCTGTGTGTCTGTTGGAATCAGGTTAGTCTTGTGTGTGATGGAATCAGGTTAGTCTGTGTGTCTGTTGGAATCAGGTTAGTCTTGTGTGTGATGGAATCAGGTTTGTCTGTGTGTCTTTTGGAATCATGTAAGTCTTGTGTGTGATGGAATCAGGTTAGTCTTGTGTGTGATGGAATCAGGTTAGTCTGTGTGTCTGTTGGAATCAGGTTAGTCTGTGTGTCTTTTGGAATCAGGTTAGTCTTGTGTGTGATGGAATTAGGTTAGTCTGTGTGTCTGTTGGAATCATGTTAGTCTGTGTGTCTTTTGGAATCATGTTAGTCTTGTGTGTGATGGAATCAGGTTAGTCTTGTGTGTGATGGAATCAGGTTAGTCTGTGTGTCTTTTGGAATCATGTTAGTCTTGTGTGTGATGGAATTAGGTTAGTCTGTGTGTCTGTTGGAATGAGGTTAGTCTTATGTGTGATGGAATGAGGTTAGTCTGTGTGTCTGTTGGAATCATGTAAGTCTTGTGTGTCATGGAATCAGGTTAGTCTGTGTGTCTGTTGGAATCAGGTTAGTCTTGTGTGTGATGGAATCAAGTTAGTCTGTGTGTCTGTTGGAATAAGGTTTGTCTTGTCTGTGATGGAATCAGGTTAGTCTTATGTGTGATGGAATCAGGTTAGTCTGTGTGTCTGTGGGAATCAGGTTAGTCTGTAAGGATTGATCTGCATGACCTGCAAGAGAGAGAGAGGTCATTGTGATATCTTAATCTCAGTGTATTCCTTTTTCCAAACTACAAGTGGACCTTTCATAAAGATAAAATTAATCTTTGACATGATCATTATTTTCTCCCTCATAATATATCCCATAATTACCCTGTAATATGTAACTAAATGTAGCTTTTAAATGTTCATATGTAGCACATGGAATGACTTGGCCTGTCATATTTGCAGGATTTGATGTTGTTCTGTGACGGATGTGACAAGGGCTATCACACCAACTGTCATGAACCCCAGGTCAAAGAAAAACCATCAGGTACTTATGATTACAAATTATTATTTCTTATAGTCATAAAATTTCGAATATTAATGTTTTCCAAATAATTTATTTTCCTATTGAGCTGACATGCAAGAAGAGGTGACATGTTTGTTGACAACAGGCACTCCATGTTTGTAGGCAAGTGGGTGTGTATGGAGTGCGAGACCGATGGAGTGTCGGCAGAGGCTCTAGACTCCCAGGAAGCAGCCAAGGCAGCCAGCAAGGAGCTGTCTATTAAAACAGGTGAGTTATTCCCCTAGTAGTACAGGGGTACCCAGTAGGAATACATGTAGTGTGTGGGGCGGTTGGGTAGCCCAATGGTTAAAGTGTCCGCTCGTCACGCTGAAGACCCGGGTTCGATTCCCCACATGCGTACAATGTGTGAAGCCCATTTCTGGTGTCCCCTGCCGTGATATTGCTGGAATATTGCTGAAAGCGGTGTAAGACCACACTCACTCACTCACTCACTGTGTTGTTGACCAAGCACTTAACCAAGAGCTGTTATTGTGTTTTCCCTTCAGCAATAAATGGGTACCCAGTAGGAGGTAGTGTAGTATCATTGCTGATCATGCTGCATACTTCCTGGGCTACCTGGAGTACTTGTCTCTGACTTGACTCCTGCCACATCACTACAGGCTTGAGAAAAGAAGCCTCTACATGTTGACTTGTTTAGGATCTGTTGTGCAGATATCTTTGTTACAGAATGATATCTCATGTAGTAGGGGTGACTATTGAAGGTAAACAACTATTACGATAGTCTGTTGCAATATACTATTGCGATAGCGATATTCTATTGCGACCAGCTATTGCAATAGTGTTTGTTTTCTCCTTGAATTGTCTCATTTGAAGTCATTTCCCAAATGAATGTATAGTTTATATGCAATAAAAACAAGTAGTTTCAGTCTCTTTTAATAACGGACAAGAAACTTGAAACCGAGATCCAGCACTGTTTTTGCTCACAATTTCAAACTCCTGAGTCACATGCCATGTTTGCCGTCATGTTTGTTTAAGAGGTAACAGGGGATAACTGTAAATCAAAGTGAACGAATCTGGTACTTCCTGTATTTTGCGCTGCCCATTTCTCAACAGAAGTCAATTACTAAACTATCGATAGTCACACATACTATCGATGCATCGACAGTTTTTTCGTTTCTACCATCGATTAACTGCCATCGGAGACTCAACAATGGCAATCCATCGATAGTTCAATGCATCGTTTCAGCGCTACCAATTATGGTCACAGAATGATATTCCATGTAGTAAAGTCAGTGTCCCATCTGTTGCAGACAATGAAACTGACAAGTTGTGTACGTCAGAGCCAGGCCCGTCCTTCCTCCACACACCATGCGATTCTCCTGTGGAGAATATGGAGGTGGACAACAGCAGGTATGTCGTGGCAGTGCTGGGGAGTTTCCAAATTTTCATTCTTCAGCAATCATCTTTATCTCACAAGCTCTGCTAGCAGAATAGGAATTTAACCTGTCCCTTTACATGCTGTTACCTTATTATATCAAATGCTTTGGCTTTTTTTGTAACTTGTGTACCACTGATAACAGGAAAAGCATGGATGAAGTGTCTTTAATGTAACTTTTATGTATTGAATGCAATGTTAGAATTCATTGTTCAAATACGTTGAATTTAGGAGAATAGGAACTCAGAAAAAGTCACAATTATTAATAAGTAATGATATTTCCTAATTTGGCTGCCAAGGGCACCTAGATGAGGACCTGAGATGTACTTGTATTATACAGTGCACTACTTTTCTTCCATGCATAGCTTGTGGTTAGCAGACCTGTGAAGGTCCGGGTTAGAATATTGATCTTCGGTAACCCATGCTTCTCGTAAGAGGCGACTAACGGGATCAGCTGGTCAGACTTGCTGACTTGGTTGACACGTCATAGGTTCCCAATTGCGCAGATCGATGCTCATGCTGTTGATCAGTGGATTGTCTGGTCCAGACTCGATTATTTACAGACCGCCGCCATATAGCTGGAATATTGCCGAGTGTGGCATGAAACTAAACTCACTCACTCACCCCACTGTGGTAAGCAGGGAGTCATGCTGTCAATAACTGCTTCTGTTTTGGGTCTGATTTTCTAAATTCCATGTGCGAGTTGAGATGACTTATATGCCCTTGTTTCTTAGATTTCCTATTTTCTATGTTTGTATTGGTGTTCTGCTACTGTTTTGAAACTTATATATGAGGATACCTACATATAAGTAAGCTGGTCCAAGGGTGATAACTGTATATTACACAAAGTAGGTCATATAGACTAGTTCATACTCGTACCACTCACTGACAGCCAGGTTATGTCAGTCATAGCTTATTGTCTCCTTTTTTTGTTGTTTGAAAATGTTATCACCAGTACTAGAATGTTGTACGATGTCACTGATATTGCAGTGTTGTAGCAAATGACCAAATGACATTATTGTAAAATATGGCCAATATGACAATGGTGTAATACATTGTATGTGACAAAAATGATGACAATGTTGCTGTGTGACTATTCTGACAATGTTGCTATATGTGGCCAATATGACAATGTTGCAACATGTGAGATATATGACAAGGTTGCAACATGTAACTAATATGACAAGGTTACTACATATGACATGACAATGTTGCAACGTGTGAGATATATGACAATGTTGCAACATGTAACTAATATGAGACTATATGACAATGTTGCAACATGTAACTAATATGACAAGGTTACTACATATGACATGACAATGTTGCAACGTGTGAGATATATGACAATGTTGCAACATGTAACTAATATGACAAGGTTACTACATATGACATGACAATGTTGCAACGTGTGAGATATATGACAATGTTGCAACATGTAACTAATATGACAAGGTTACTACATATAACATGACAATGTTGCAACGTGTGAGATATATGACAATGTTGCAACATGTGAGCTTTATTACAAGAGTCTGCAATAATCAATGTGATAATAAGCAACTCACAGTCTGCTCCATGAGAGAATTCCTGGTTATGTGGTATTACACCTAAAGGCTTGGGGTGTGGCTTGCTTTGTCAGTCACAGGATTGTCCGGTCCAGAAGTGATTTTTTACAGTCCACTCTGAATTAACTGGAATATTAGTTAAGAACTAAGCAATGAATGAACTAAAGGTGTATTGTTTGGCTGTAACAGTGCTGCTGACTAGGTCAGATGTGTGGGAATTTGTTTCAGTCATGATGTACATGAAAACATGGGTTCAGATATGTTAATGATGCTCAGAAGATAACAAATCATTGGCCAGTTTATGTCAATGCATTACATGTCATTGATAAAGAAATGTAGGATGATTTGTAGTTAACTATGTATGTGGTTTCTTTGATTGGCATTCTAGAAGTTGAGGAGATAAAGAATGAGGACTCTGTATAGGTGACTAATGTCATAGATTCTAATGTTGTCGCGTCCATTTGTTTGACGACTTTAGAATCTATATCGAAATGTCGCCTATACAGAATAAAGAAGTTGTATGTCCATAAAAATTGTCCTCATTCTTTCTTTATGTGGTTTAATACAAGGCTGCATGGTATTACTGGCACACTGCAATATTCATGTCAAACAATACATATGGCAGTATTCTTTTTGTTCTGGTATTTTGGTAAAACAAGTTTTTCTAGTATTCATATTGTTCAACTTAAAACATCTAAAGGGTTTGTTCTTCTCAGCTATTTTAAGGAGGAGGTAAAACCAGTGAAGAAATCCACAGAGCCGCTCCCGAAAGAACCCTGCTTAGTTGACAGCGTGTATCCAGATGCCTCAGACTGGACAATAGACGAAGTGGTCCTCTTTTACGTATCTGTCGGCTTCGAGGCGCAGGCGGAGGCATTTCGAGAACAGGTAGGGGCAGTTGATCTGAGCCCAGGTCCACGAAGCAGACGTAATGATATGACGACTGTTGTCAGTCTGCGAGAAATGACAGGAACAGATCCAAGAATTTACTTTTTTCTACAATATTTGAGAAATGAAGTTGCATTCCAAGAAAATATTGTGTTAAAGATGATACATGCCTTCTATAGACATTGGTTGGCGTCATGTCCGATTCTCACATAAGTGGCCCCACGACTTACACAGCTGCAATTCACTGTCCACAGTTACCTCCCTTGACTGTGACATTACCTGCTGGTTTTGACATTTAAACTTCTTTTGGGTTTCACCAAATCATTTACTAGTATATATGGATGCCTTCTTCCTACTGTGACAGAAGCCACTGGTTTTCATTGTCACTAGTCATCTTTGTTTCTTTTGTGTGATAATATGAATGCCCTGAAAGACAATTGACTTATTCCCTAGTTATGCTGTAATGCCCTGATAAAAATGAAATTCTGTCATAGCTGAATAAAAACACACTGGAACACAGTGTACCAGTTCACTAAACATAGAACCTGTGAAGATCCGGGTCATAATTGATCTTCAGTAACCCATGCTTGTCGTAAATGGCGACTAACAGGATTGGGTGGTCAGGCTCGCTGACTTGGTTGGCACATGTCATTGTATCCCAATTGTGTAGATTGATGCTCATGCTGTTGATCACTGGATTGTCTGATCCAGACTCGATTATATACAGACCGCCGTCATAAAGATGAAATATTGCTGAGAGAGGCATAAAACTCACTCACTAAACTAATTCTCTACCCAGAGGTATTCCAGTGTAGAGGGTATGGAATCAAGGCCAGGTTAGGTCACCTGTTCCCATCCTCATTGGAAGCGCTGTAACCTAGTAGTTGAAGTGTTGCTCATCATATTCAAGACCCTGGCTCGAATGCCAACGTGGTTACAATAAAGGAAGCCCATGCCTTGTGCACCCCTGCTGTGATATTGATGGAATATTGCCTAGAGTGGCTTAAAATCGAACTCTTTCATATGTGTGGGTGGATGAGGATTAGGGGGAACACAAAGGTCAACTTAGCTGAAATTGTGTGAAACTTCTTGCTAATGTTATCAACTACTTAGTCTGTCTCACAATCCCTGAACTCCATTATTTTACCTCTTCCTTGGTCTTTCTGCAATGTTAAAGCCCTAAATAAAGCAAGTCTAAATTTCATCAGGTTCTGAGTCATTTTAAGAGGAATGCTTTGTTTAGATCGAAATTTTTATATATTCAGATACTAAATCTATCAACCACTGTGTGGATGACTCATTTGCAAATAATTTTTGGCCATCATAATAATGCAGGTATATTGCTGATTGTGACTGCCAAACATCACTCATGCTCTCGCGTGGTGGGGTAGACTAGTGGTTAAAGCGTTCACTTGTGATGCTGAAGACTGGGTTCGATTCCCCACATGGGTACAATGTGTGAAGCCCATTTCTGGTGTCCCCTGTCGTGATATGGCTGGATTATTGCTAAGAGCGGCGTAATACTAAACTCACTCACTCACTCACTCACTCACTCATAACACTTCTTTTTTTCTGTGCGTTTCAGGAGATTGATGGCAAGTCTTTGCTCCTGATGAAAAGGAGTGATGTATTAACAGGTCTGTCAATCAAGCTAGGACCAGCCCTGAAGATCTATAAACATGTAGAGTGTCTGCAGACAGCAGGGCAGGATCAGAACATGCACTGAGCAGGTGCTTGTGCATTGTGTACCGATTATGTACTTTTGTACAGTGTACAGACAGTGGGAGAAGAGACCATGTTCTGAACAGGTGCTTGTACAGTGTGTACAGACTGGGAGAGTATCAGATGATGCGCTGAATATTTGTACCATGTACAGACCATGGAAAGACAGATCACGTACTGAACAGGTGCTTGTACAGTGTGTACAGACTGGGAGAATATTAGATGATCCACTGAATATTTGTACCATGTACAGACCATGGAAAAACAGATCACGTACTCAACAGGTGAATGGACTTTGTGTACAGACCAGGTACTGAACAGGTGCTTGTGGTATGTATAGTGAAGACAGTGATATGACGAGACCTTGTATGGAACAAGTGTTAGTGCTATGGTATAGGAGGATTATGGTGAACATTCCTCAGGTGTTTCTGAGTGATTGACAGATATAATCTTGCATAATCTTACTTCATTCATCTGCATTCCACTTATAATAGACGCTTTTTTGGTACTTGATCTTGTTGTGAATACCCATCGTGAGATAATACGCAGAGAATTCAGGAATGATGTAGAATACATTGAGAAAGAGCATGCAAACACTTCCTCATTGGTCACTAACCCCAGACCACTTCCTCATTGGTCACTGATGCCAGACCACTTCCTAATTGGTCACTGATGCCAGACCAAGTGGATGTAAGGGGAATACGTGAAGAAGGCGTGGATGAATACTTTTCCATCTGAATCAAGTCGTGCTCGAGATGCAGCTGCAGGGCCTGTGAAGTGTGGCCAGGTAATCGATGGTTGGGAGGTGATTTCCTTTGGACTTCTCAGCAGCTATCTCCAGAGAAGTCAGGAATATTTCAGGGACTTAGTATGCTTTCCCGATAATATCTGGGAAGTTTTTTTTGTCCAGATATTATAAAAATTATTACAGGTATAGAATGTGATGTAGTCACCAGTTATTAGGAAGCTGTTTATGTTTGTTAATTACGAATGAAATGTGTTCTGGAACTTCAAGAATTACAATTGATGACACTCATTTTTGTAGGGGGTTGTTATGACTATTTCTGACACCGGATTCATGAAAAGAATTTCTAAGCGTAACATTACGGATGGGGACTCTTTAGATTTGACACCTTGCTACCAAATGCAGGTTGTCATAGGATGAATTTCATGATGTTGAACATTTCCACAATTGCCTAGCTGAAGAAAGTATTTTAGGCCACTGTAAATTATTTGTTATATTTTTATTCAAATTTAAAATGAACACGAAGCTATTTAATATATGTATGATTTTGTTCTATCAATGCGTGCACTTCATGATTTATAGTAGTATATATAGTTGACATGCAAGCAGTATCAAACCTTCACTTACTTCTGTGACTGCTAATTAGGGACCAACTATTTGAGTACCAAGGGGTACCAAGGAGTTAGTATTCACACTAGGTACTTAGGTTTTCAGCTACAGCTCAAAGCTAAGATATTTCTTTTATTAAAACTGGAAGCTGAAGTATCTTACATAAATAAATACATAGATCTATTTTTAAAATCTGGTAACAATGTTTTTTGCGGCTGACAATGTCTTTTTTCAACACTCTGAAGTGTACTTACTATTTTCAGCATTTTTATATGATGGGTTAACTTTTCAATAACACCCCAGGCTCCCCCAGAAAATCAAATGGTTGGTCCCAGGCTTAGTCTTTGTCAAACAGATGACCTTTCAAAGAGATTTGTAGAATTCCGGTAGAATAGATGAGAAAAACAACTGTCTGGCATTCCTAAGAAATCGTTCAATTGACAATGAATTTATTTTTGTATGTCTATCTTTACATTGATTTCTGTCAACAATGGCATTCAGATCATCTTTAAGTAATGGATTTCTTGTTTAGGGGCATCAATGACTTTTTCTAAGCAGAAATGTGCTGATAACCATAACTATTTAGAAGAATTATGTACACAGATCAACCTTGTTACTCCAAACAACAGTGTTTGGGCTGAAGTACAGTGTAGTGATCTATTATAAGTTGTTCACTGGTCTCGAGGGGGACATGAGCCGCTGTACCCTCGATGTTTGTTTATGTTCCCAGACACTCACTCACTCACTCACTGTCATTTCAGTCCCTGACTTCTTTTGAGTAGTATATTAAGGAAGTTGTTATTCATCAGTTGTGTCTTCTTTGAAATCATCATGGAAGATTATTTCCAATTATTGTGTGATTTCCTTTTGTATGCATATTACCAGCTCAGGAGAAATCATCTGAAAGTTGAGATTAACAAGGTCTGAACTAATGAATCACAGTGTATATATAGGGATGTACATTGTGCAACTGACTTTCAGTGGTTACAGATCAATAGACCGATCCAGTCTGTCAATCAAAACTGGCGCATGCGTCAATTTTGGCCAATCAGCAGGCCGGACGCGCTGTGTGGATTTGTCAGACTTATTTCCGGGGTCAAACGATGCCTTGGAAGCGATGTGCTTTGAATTATGCCATTTACACTTTCTATATCGATTACATATTGCTGTGATTTGATGTGTCCCTTTAACAAAACCATTACGATCAAGACAAAAAAATTGAGGCGGATCAAGGAATGCGATAGGCCTAACGAAAAGGTAAATGTCTGCACCATCGTTCACGAAACCTACGTCTGCCTGCAGATCGCGAATTTACCGCAATTTACACACTTTTGCACATGTGCAAAATCATTACCAATTGATGACAACAAATAGCAGTTTAGGATTTTGCAAGTGTTATAAACACGGACAATTCTTGTAACTACAAAATTGTTTTGCTTCCGTTTTAGTCACTACTGGGCATTGAGTTGGTACACCATAAACCTGAAATGAGACAGGTGAGAAAGCCGTGACACAATGTAAACAAATCTGACAGCGAGCTGATTTGGTTAGAATTAGGCCGAAATAGCAAAACTTGTTACATTAAGAACAATGTGGTGGATATGGTTGCATTAGCGATTAGATATTCTGAAATTTGTCACACATTTTAGGATGTTTTAAAGTTTCACAAGCACAATCTGAAGGCCTATGTACAGTACAGTATCTGTTGATAGTGCAAAATATTCGAAGAGTAATATTTTTTTTATCCAAAGCGGAAATATTGTCAGTGTCAGCAGTTGCCTATCCGCATAATATCAAACATCAAAATTAATTCATGAGTGTCTGTAAAACCATGTCTTAAATATTTCAGAATATCTATAAAGAGATGGGACCTTGAATTGATTTAGCTTTACTCAAATGTGAATCGGAGGCGAAAACGAAAATGTCAGAAGAATAGTGACTTTCTGGAATATCGGACAGAGTGAAATATAAGTTTATTTCCTAACTATGAGAACATTATTTGTTTTGATTTTTTTTGTCACAGTATAATTTTTTACTTGTAAGGTGGGGTTTGGGGTGGGGTGGGGGTACATTGGTACACTTTAGGAGTAATAACATAGTTCTGTCATTTTAATTATTATTCACTGGAAATGATAGCAAGGTATGTTTTAAGAATCTTGCCTCCTCCAGGAAGCGTGGAAAGGTAATAAAATAGATAATACTCAATCAATTATTAATAATTACTTAACTGTCTCACATATCAGATTCATGTGAAGTTAAAGGCAGAACTAGGCAAACAAACCCTATATACATATCATGGCTGAACAAACACTTGGTACTAAGATAGCTAGTTTGTTTTAAGTTATATTTGGTCTTTAAATAATATGTTTATTCAGAGAGTGACTCATAATAAAGTTATTTCAACATCCAGAGAATTTGAAGAAAAACAAAGGCTACGTTTTGGTCACACCCAGGCATTATTCAGTCATGGAACCAAGTAACTTACAGAATTCTAAGTTGACTGTTCATGTAACTGGAATGGATATTGAAACATGACATTCAACCCCGATTTCATGTAATACTTCTTAGAATTCATCAGCTTGTGAGGAGGTTACCAATATTTGAAGACTGAGCCAAAGTAGTGTTTTTTAAGATGTTGTTTTTGGACAAATTGTTCAAGGTTTGTTGGTGCTTATTTGGAAAATAGGCTTAAATTCATATTAAAATGCACACTGGTTTAATTGCAGGAGGTGAAAGCTTCAGGCCATTTTCATGTATGTTTTCCTAAACTTTTGTTATGACTTTTACCAAATTTTTAAGCAACTATGATATAGTTTGATGACACTAGTAAGTATCTCAGGAAAGGAAATAGATCAGAATTAGTGTTATTTCCCTAAGGGATATGGTCTCAGATCTAATAAAACAAAGATTATCATTGTCTAAGAAGCAATAATGTCAATATGTAATTTTATTGACAAATAGCTTTAAACTTTGAATATATTCTTTGCCTCTTGTTTACAATAGTAGTTAGCAGTTAAATATCTCTAAAGAAAAAGCAGTATATTTGTATGTTGTGTAACATTCTGTTTCAATGCTAGTTAATTGTCTGGGATAACTGTGGATCCTCTGTTCAAAGATTTTGCATCACACGTTTCCTATTTATGGAAGATGTGTCAGTGTACAGGTGCAGACTGTATCTTGGATTCTTTGTGTTTATGGTGGTGTGACATACCTGTAGATAAATGCTGGCAGTTCATGAAGTCCATTATAGTGGAGGTTTGTAGATTAGGATTCCATAACAAAGTACACATAGAAAAATAAATTGGAAAGGATTATTTAAAAATGGATTTCCTTATATTCAGTGTCATTTTAGGATGGTGTACAGATTTGGAAGAGAAAATTTTATTGAGAATAGCTGCAGATTATCTGCTGAATATTTGCTTCTTGGTATGTCCAGATACATCCATGGAAACATACTGTGTTAACAGGTCAAGTAACGTTTTCCAGATAATATATATACAGACAAACAAGATGGACGAAGTAGTAGACCGGGATACTGCTTTCCTCGTTGTCCCTTGAAAGGTAGAAACCTAAGTTTTCTCAGACTTAAAGCTGAACAACGGATAAATAAATAAAGGTGTACACGCGCGCAGTTTTGACAATTTATTTTATAGATACGGAACGATCTGTAACTTGAACATGTGGTTGTGTTCACGGTTTTATAATATTACGATGGGAATTTTTGAGAAAAGAACAACAAACATAATTCAGTTACCTTTCCCCTGCTAATATGTTAGACTAGCGTGAATTGCGGATCGATTATTTGGTAGAAAATAAACTTCCCAGTCTCAGCAGCTGGCTGAGACGATTTTTCATCGGGCATGTAGATCTAACTACTTTTTCACTCGCCAATTATACAACCTGTCAACTAAAATATATTGAAAATAAAATACGTATAACTTTCCTTTTAAAATATCATTCACAAACGACGGATACCAAAGTACAACAAGCATAATTCATCAACAACATTCGCAATCACGTACGTTTCGCCGGCGGTGACGCCATTGTGATTAGTCCGTGGTTGTCCCCCCTAACGTTAAAAACGAAGTGGGCGGGGCTTATCGGCCGGGACTGGATCGGTCTATTACTTCAGAAAATATTATTATGTGTGTGAACTTATGTTGCATATTTTCGTTTTAGTTAATGACTCAAAATTAAATATAGGAGTTGAAAAACAAACAAACTCCTAATCAGTGATTTGATGGCAGGAGTTTTGTGTTGGTAGTGGACAGTTTAACATGAATTTCAGCATATTTCATCATCTTTGAACACAGCCACAAACATTTGGTGGAAAAGTAGAGGAAAATTGACTTTCCTGATACTTTCTACTAAACAGCAATAAATAATGTTGCATAGACTCTCCTTGTGGGACACCTAGGAAATATCTTCTAATAGATATTTGTCTAAAGTAATTGTAACATGTTCGTTTCAGTTGGTTTTCCATACCATCTATAATAAACAAAGACCTTGAGAATGTTAAGTATTTAGAATGAGATTGGTGATATGACAGTGTGACTTCTATCAGAATCGAGTCGCACTGATATTAATCTATTATATGTACATCTGTAGGTGATGGAATTTTTCATCCAAACATGGATAATTCTTCATCATATTATTTAATTGTTCTTTGTACTATTTGTGAA